GCTACGGCACGAGAAGCGCAAAAACGCATAATCGCACCGGCCCGCCTGGTGCGTTCCAGCCTGGGTTTATGATTTATTTATTCCTACCATTGTGATGATGATGTAGCGGAATCTTCCTTCCACTTTGCCAACTTCGAAAATTTTACAAAAGTGTACGCTTTTCAACAATTCCGCTCCGCGCAATACCAAACAGTCCATCAGAAGCACCTAGAAAGGACTCAAAGTGCAGTCAGAGTTCCTGTGTCAGCATTCCTATCTTTAATTTTACTACTAAAGCGGCACTCGGAAAGAATGCACAAATGTGCCACATGGGCGGTAATCATTCACTGAAGGTTTAAAACTCACAATGAATGATCCCAGCACAAATGAGCTCAGTGAACATCTAGCATCTCTAATGCGCAGCCCTTACGCTGACTGTCCAAGGATCTTGGCATCTCGGTAATTAATTTCAAAATCAGTACTTTTCTTGGATGACTATAAGATTCCAATTTCGCTGCGTACATTTCGTTATTTTTTGATGACTGTACTTGAAAAACGGCTCCAAAACCACCTTCGCCAAGTAATCTGATAACCTGCATTTAACCTACTTTTGGACAAATAGAAGAGACTGATTTTCTGCAGCATATCAATTTTTCCATTTTTCTGAGATGCTTTCAGTATTTCAAGTATTTACTTTACCAATCCGGTCAGCTAATGTTTCATCGTGGCGCTGCTTTGCACCATTAGCTAATCTGGCATCCATTCCAATGGTAACTTTGATCGAAGCTGCTTCGTCTGCTGGTCCATTCTCATCAGGTGTTATCCTTCTTTCTTGTTCGTTCTTTCGCCGCAAAGGATATGTCGAAATTCCAGCTCCGAGTATATCATCAGTTTCAGTTTGGAACCCACTGTGGTACTGAACTGCGACTTCACGCTCAGCAGTACAGGGTACGTCACTCTCCTCTGTTGGACAGCCCAACTCCAGCTGTTGTCTATCGTACACACTGAACACATGGTCAAATCTAACTCAGTGCCTTGCAATCACTGCTTGCTGCTGTATCTTCTAGATGCTTGTATTTTTCCAAGGGAGTATCGGTCTACAGGGTCTAGAGTGTGATGCAGTCAACTCTGGCACCTTCTAACTAAGGTGGAGCTTCAACCATCAGTCAAGTTTATAATCCATCCTTTTTTGCTTTGTTTTCACTTTTTTTCAGTATGCTGTTAATCTACGCTAAATTTATTGTTTGAAGATTCATTTTTTATGAGTTTTACACGACGGTGCGATCACGTTCGTTGCGCCTGTACCTTGCTTGCCTGGCTGCACTGTTCAATTCAAAAATCATGAAACTGGGAAGCTGACATTTGAAAGCATGATCACTGAACTTGCATGAAAAGGTCACAAACTTAAAACCAACATGCATCTTTTTTGTTTCCTGATCTATGAACTTGGGCCAAATTACCGGCTATTTTGAAACTCTGAAGCGAATAAACCTAAACTCCAGGTTCTCCGATTTTAATTTACCAAGCCATGCATAATTATTCTAAAGTCAATTTTCACCATATTTTGACTACTGAGCCCAGGCCAGAACAGAACTGATCTCGAAAAGGCCAATTCTACAATTTCTATCAAGTCAATTTAGCCTTTAAAATCTTGAATTTCTGGCTTGTGCGGATTAAACGACAGGAATTATCTTTTGAATCAACCATTTCCTAACCTTTGACCTCAGGCTAAATTTAGTTTTAAAATGCTCGATGATAGCCCAGGCTGGAACGAATCAAGCTTGCCGGTGCGATCATGCGTTTTTGCCTAAACTCGCAGGTCGCTAATAGGAGGAATGATCCCTGCGCTGTAGCCTAACACTTGGACTCAAAGGGGCCGTGCTTTGGCCTCCTTCCGGCATACAGGAGGAAGGGTGTCGGTTGGGATGGTGTTGCGTTATAGAGCCGCACATGATTATCAGTCTTGCATGAAGCCCGGTCGTTTTTTCAGTGAATGCTCGCTTTTTGAAAAAGTGAAAAATGCAGGTTTTCCAAAAAAATGTTAATTTCCAGTTCACTAAAAAGTGAAAGTGTTGTTCGAGCGGTCGTTTGTCAAAAAATCCAAGTATGCAAATGACCTGAATGTTCACTTACATATTTGGGTGAGGAAGGTCGTTTGCTGCAAAACGCATTCGTTCCTGATTTTCCGGTAAAGTTGAGTATTTCTCACGCCCACCTTCAGGGAATTTCACTTCCGAGCAGAATTAAGATCGCACTTGAAAGTAGAATATCCCAGCGAATTTTCAGCCTCACAGCTTGTCAGGTAAGCGAAATACCCACTTCGCTACATATGTTTTTGAAGTGCCCTAAGTCGTCGCGCAAGTTCAAGCCGGTACTCATTTCAGGCATACTATTTCCCATATGAAATACAAATGTGCTGACAAAATTTCAGCCAGTTTTCCGGCAAGTTTTTGAGTTAACACAGTACCAAGTTACAAACTTTGACGCGATCGTACGCGCTGCACAAGCGTGCAAGGCAGCTGAATTTGAAACCTTCAGCGCGCACATATACAGAGAATATTCCTACAAAGTTTCAGCTTTCTACTTTGCCTGGTTCACGAAATCGTTTCTCGCCCCGCCGAAAAAATTTGCATATTTTTTTGGGGATCCGTACGCGGGGTTCTGGCGTGTGCGGGGGAAGATCTTAAAACGGGAGGGTGACACACGGGGTAAGAACATATACCCAAAATTTCAGCTTCCCAGCTTTTCTGGTTGCTGAGATGAAAGTGGGTGACGAATTTCACTTGCTTATGAACACACACACAGACGACCTCCCGACAATACGGCGCTGCTACAGCGCTGCACAGCAAAAACGCATAAAAATCAGATTTTAACCCACGACGCGATGAAACCTAGCTGCTTGAAACCAGATTTAAGATCTTCTGCATCGTCAGCCGACCTCACGTTCAGGCTTAAGTTGAGATCTACCCAGACAGAAGCCAAGGCTTTTCATTCCATTCATTTTTTCATTTAGCACTCCGCTCACCGTTTTTCCTCTATACCATACTCATTATTCTATTCATCTCTACCCCTCCAAACGCCGTTGAACATGGAATGGTGGCAAATGAGTTCTTAAATAAGAGACAATATCAAACCTTGTACTGCGTAGCTTTCCCTCGAAAACTGGCACCTTCTTTTGGAAAATGTTCGAAAGAGTATTTCCGCTCATTTTTTGCCATTTAGCAATGGTCCAGAGCGAATGCGTCCACTGGAATTCGTAACAATAGACTCGTCTGAGTGAACCATGCGCTTTTATACGTCTTTTTTTTTTTTTAAACAAACAGCCGCGTTACCTTTCGCGTCATGCACTACGATGCTATTTACTCGACATTTTCTTTTCCAGAAGTTGCGAGACTGTTGCTGTGCCTTCGAAAATTCCCACTGTCACATGTGTGGCTACTAGAATTCATCCGAAATCCCGTACCATGCTCCCGTTCCTTTTCACCTAGTACACTGTACACCTGTATTTCAAACAAATAGCCAGAACAAACAAACAAACATAATCGTTGGCACACCTGGTGGCAGTGTGTGTATGCCTATGCTCTTTTGCTCTAAAAAACGTCATGTCGAGGCTCTAGCACTGATAACCGAAATTGCTCGTAGCGAAAGGTGCCAGATTAAACAGAAATGAGCAACAATATACCACACCTGGACTGGAACGGAAATGAGGTAATGCAAACTCAGCAATGAGTAACCATACTAGCCTGGATGATGGTCGTTGTGCATTCATGGTCTCGCATGCGACCAAACCAACAGGAGCTCTACCACGTAGCCATCATTTTATCAAAGACTGTATCATGCTACCACTGAACTTTGAAATGCTTTACGCTTCTAGTAAATCCAAAACGTTCTTGCTCGTTTTAGACTGATTGTAATACATTGCTCACTGCATCACCCTTTGCAGCCCACGTTTTTGCTATACATTTATTTACAGGTTACTCACAAACATCATTAAATTAAAAAAAAAAAACTGATGTCACATAAAACTGCGACAATGGAAAAGCGATGTACAACATCGAATACATGGAATCTGTCAATTTTAAAAAAAAAGAAAAAAAAAAAAAAAACAGACGGCCGCATCCCGTAAATACACGTAACACATAACCATATGAGAATATATAATGTGAAACATAAGTTCTGTAGACTGGCATACACGTTATTTCCAGTAATTGCAAGGAACAACGATGCAAAAATACGCTGGAGCATAACACATTAAAAAGCATCCCTTCGAACAGGGAGTTTTCTGGCATTTCTCCAAGATCCCAGAAAAATGCTCGATGACCAAGCGTGAGTACAGGGGAAGAGAGGTTAGAAAACCGTGAAAGGAAGAATAACGCATTAGATGCTTTCCTGTAAACGATCTGCTAACTGCTTGATGCGTTCACCTGAAATGGAGAAAAAATTCGACATAGAATTACTCGTCGTGAGTTTCGCTCCTCAAATGGGCACTAGCATAGTGTCGAAATAGTTGATAACTAACTTCTTGTATTTATATTTTGTATGCGAGTTCAATAATCATCCGGAGACCTTAAGTATAACCTCATCTTATTCAAAGAACGACTTTTTGCACTACAACAGCATTCGGTTCAGAATTCACATGAAACTTGCAAGAAGTTTTCCTCTAAACACAGCCGTCCAGAGAATATTCAGTTCTCCTGATTTCACTGAGAACGTGCAACAGCACACTAACCCATTTCTTCCAGTGAATCTGCATGATCCTTAGCACAGCTACTCATATCATGTTGCGACCGATTCGGCGTTGACGATCGGTTGCCCAACTCACCTCTCGACTCGGGCAGTACCTGTGAAAAAAAAAATTTCCTGTCTAACGGTTTTCAAGACCACCAGCACTCTCTGTATGGAGTGCTGTATATTGCTGGATATTACTGAGATCTACCATAATACCTGTAGCTGACGCTGCATCTGCTACAGACAAGCAGCATGCCTTTGAGTGGTACCGCCAATCCCGCGGACATCATCATCATTTTAAGTTGGGACTGCGAGGACTAACCTAATTATTTTTAGCAACCACAGTATGGCCTCAATTACTCAGCCACCTCCTTTTTCGTGCTACTGCAAACAGACGCAAAAAAGCATCTTACTGCTTCGAAATGCTCGGTCGAAGAAGTCCACGAACCATCCGGTGCCGAATCTTGATAGGCTACGCGGTAAATTTTTGCGCTCGTTTTATCATCCGTGCTCATTGTTGTTTCACCTCGGCCAGATGCATCCACATTCCCTTTAGTTTCGACACTAGGCATAGTCGCGGCGATGTCTTCATGTTTTTTATCTGCCGCAGGTTCTGTTACCTAAAAATGTGCAAGTAAGATCACGCCAGTTTTCACATGCAGGACGATTTGAATGACTGGAAGACAGCGTTCATACCTCACTGCCTTCGGAACATGACCGTATGTCCGACATATAACCACACGCTGTGTGTAGCTTATTTTGCTAACTCAAAACAGAGGTGCGTTATCAACGAGCCAATGTATTGGTAGTCGAGCTGAAACCTTCCAGTTGGCGTAATGGCACACCAGCAGAGATTATAAAGCACGATGTGAGGGCGAGTTATTACTCCCCAAACAATCAGTTCTGGTGGAGCCCATTATTGAACCTGAATCGTCAACTGATACCACTGGAATTCCGGTTGTCTTTTAGATGCAGTCAACGTCTAAAAAAATAAAAGCCAAGACCACCACCCTCTCTTTACAATCTTAGTTCTAGCTCCAAAAAAAAGCAGCCAAATTGGACACGCGTGCCCCTGAATTAATAGTATTCGATCTTGTCTAAAACTTGCAACGGAGTGCGCAAAATCTACTAGCGTAAAATCATCATGTAAAAAGTTAATTACCGAATAATAAGCTTCGGCAGCTTTATCCTTAATCGCTGACGCGGCGTCCACTACGGTATCTTTTGTCGCCGTTATAAGTGAAGCAATGTAGCCCTGACCCTAAAATCAAAAAGTCAAATCCATTCATCTTACCAGTAAGAAACTGAACGTTACAAGCACAGAAGTTCAATACATAAAAACTCGCAGAAACATTAATCCATGAAAAAGTCTGTATCTAAACCACAGGAATTGAAAGATTTACATCTGATGCTCGTCGTTCATTTTGTAAGCTTTCCGCACCCGGTTCGTAAATATCTCGAGTTTCGCCTTCCACTTCATGGCCCTTTTCTTCAGCCTAATAATTCGAAAAATGAGTAAAAAAACGGAAGTGAAAAATCAAAATAAAATTTTCTTCGTAAATCCGATAAATAATAAACGGAGCTACTCATACTACAGTTCGGCGCTTAAACATTTTGCGACAAGACTTTTTAGGCGTCCACTGAGTGAATGCGCCGATAAGTACGGAATTATATTATAATCCTTTTCGAATCCTGTTCGGTGCATGAAAGAACAAAATGTTAGATGTGTGAACTGATCCACCCTCTGAATCTTATCTGTGAGGAATAGCAGTGGAATTTTTACCTTATACGGTAAAAAAAATTTCAATTTTCAAGTTCCTGCGAAAGCTTCGATCATACTTAAGTCAGAGCATTAAAAGTAATTTGATATTGAGGTTGTGAGTCAATAAAAAAACCTGAGAGTTGAACTAAGATGGTACTTTTTTATTTCTCGTAGAAAAATTTGCATTCTGTTCTCACGATTCTTGACGGAAAATGTCGAATTTGTGTGATAGTGGCTGACATTAGTTTAGTTCAAGACAGGAAATTTGAGTACAAGTTGGACAAAGAAATTCAAACTGATCTGGCACCTCAAGACAACTTATCACTCAGCTGCACCGCCTGGATGATTGCGGGAATGCGAAAAAAAAAAAACAAAAGCAATTGATTGGCGATAAAAGCAGTCTTTTAAAGCCAAGAACAGGGAGCGACGGTGGCAGACGATGCAGTGGTTGTCATGACCTTCCTTTCTATCCACTTAACTTCATTCCCCGTGTTTGTTTCCGTGCGCATTGCAAAGCAGATCGTGCTGATGTGGCACAAATTACTAGAAATGAAACAAATCTTTCAAATCTCCCGCCAAATCTTTCACATGCTCATACGTGAGAACCGCGCTTACCTGAAGACTGAATTTGAAATACTTAAGTTGTACTTAGACAAGGAACACTGCCCTAAAATTTCAGCTTTCTAGCTTTTCTGGTTCCCGCGCTAGTAATTTCATTGCAGAAACTTTCATACGCCCTTACGTGAGTACCACGCATAGCTGGGGGCTAGATGAATTTAAAATATTTGAGTTGTACTTAGACAGGGAACATTCCCCCAAAATTTCAGCCTTCCAGTGTTTCTGGTCACCGAGTTAGCAATTTTCCCGCCAAAACTTTCAAATGCCTGCACGCTTGAGGACTTGAATTTGAAACTTCTAAATTGCACGTGGACAAGGAACATCCCCTAAAATTTCAGCCTTCCAATTTTTCTGATTGCCGAGTTAACAGTTCTCCCGCCAAATCTTTCACGTGCTCGTACGTAAGAACCACGCATGCCTGGGGGCTGGATTTAAAATCTTTAACCAACTCATGCACAGGGGATATCCCTACAAAGTTCCAGCCTTGTCTGGTTCCCGAGATCGCTTTCACGCCAAAAAATCTGCATATTTTTTTAAAGCTTCCGTATGCGGTACCTAGGCGTTCGCGAGGGATGATATCAACCCAGGCTGGAACGCACCAGGCGGGCCGGTGCGATTATGCGTTTTTGCACTTCTCGTGCCGTACCGTGCAAGATCGCAAGGAAATAAGTGTAGCTAACCCTGTGAAATACTGGCCCTCGGAGTTCGGAAGTAAATTGTGCAACTATGTGGTATGTCAGTTGTGAGTATCTGATCCTGCGTGATATAGTGGCCCTCGAAGTTCGGGAAGTTAATTGTGCAACTATGTGGTATGTCAGTTGTAGATGTCGGCTTCAGTGACCCGGCAATGTAAAGGTGCTGGTCCGCAAAATGGCCACACTAGAAGAGTTAATTTGAAATCTTTTAGTCGCACATAAGTAGAGAAAATTCCCTTAAAATTAAGGCCTTCAGTTTTCCCACCACAATTTGCACGTGTCCGTACGTAATTACCGGACGGTTTTAAGGAGCTGAATTTAAAATCTTTTGGTCATACATGAGCAGAGAACATTATCCTAAAGTTTCAGCCCTCTAGCTTTTTTCGTTCTGGAGTTAGTGATTTTCGCGCCAA